CAGCCTCTGTTCGATGCGTTGAGCCTCTCTGTGAAAATGTGCAGCTTTCGGAGCCAACCGGAATGGCTGCTCTGCTGTTTCTGCAGACGGCGAACGATTCCCCACGGCGCCCTCACTGGATATGGGGACTGTCATCCCCTACAAAATAGCCCGTAGCCAAACAGCCTGGAGTATAGCCAGCAAAATGTCACCTCGCCTCACCAGTGTGAGCAGCTCTTCCACCAGTGCAGCTTCTTCTCCTTGTCATGCTCGAAGGAGACTCTAACAAGGCTTGGGGCAGGGAGGCTGGAGAATGTTGGAGGTTGCACCTCATGCTGTAACCTGCAATGGCAGTCACAGATCTTTTGTGATAAAGCGTTGTGGTGTTGATGGGTTGATTAAAAAAAAAAAAGAAATAAATGGGTTTATTGGGATTTGCAGTTAAAACATGATTTCCTTAAGCTAGGGATGTGGTTTGCCTTGTGGGGTGGCCTGGATCTTCATGTGGGTCTTGGACTGTAGTTTGGCAAAGGGGGCCTATAAAATCACATAATCCCAGACTGGTGAGGGTCGGAAGGGGCCTCTGGAGCTCCCCCAGTCCGCCCACCGCCAGAGCAGGGGCACCTCCAGCAGTGGCACAGGACGGCGTCCAGGCGGGTTTGGGATGGCTCCAGAGGGGGAGACTCCCCCACCTCTCTGGGCAGCCTGTGCCACTGCTCTGCCACCCTCACAGGAGAGAAGTTCCTCCTCAGGTTTAGATGGAACTTCCTGTGGTCAAGTTTGTGCCTGCTCTGGCTTGTCCCATCACTGGGCACCACTGGAAACAGACTGTTCCCATCCCCCTGGCACCCTCCCTTGGAGGATTTATCAGCATTGATAAGATCCCCCCTCAGTCTTCTCTTCTCCAGACTAAAAAGACCCCAGTCCCTCAGCCTTTCAAAATAGGCATAAATAGTTTGGTAGGCATATTTTTTAACACCCATATCACCGTAAATAACTTTGAGGAGCAAGGGGGGGCTGCAAGTGAGTAGAACATCAGTTGGGAAAGCAACTCTTTTCCATATCTAGCTTTGTTCTGTAACCTTATCACATATAGATGGGGGTTTTTTGACTAATCAGTGTTAGAGGTGTCAGGTGGTGTAGTGCTGATCACCGTTCAGCTGTTTGCTTCATGGGGGAAGCTGTAGCAGAGCTGGAGCCTCTTCTGCAATCGAGTGCTTTAGCAGTTTCTCTCAAAATATGCTTAAAGGATTAGAAAGCCCTGCTCATCTTCTCCCTGGCTCAGGAGCGATCAAGGCATTCTCTCAGGACGAACAAGATGGGGTTTTGATTCCCACCTTAGCATGGGTGTGTTGGAGCGCGCATCTTTCCCTTTCGAGGCAACTTCTCAATAGCATATTCAGTGCAGGTGGAGAAATTGCTTCTCGTTATATGGAATGAGAAGCAGCTGGAGAAAGTCCACAAGAGGACTGGGCAACCAGCGTTGTAGGAAACAGCTCACTGGGAGAGTGAGCTGCTAGCGCTTGGTTTATAGTTGTCGTAGTTCCTGTGCACAGTGGGAGATGGTTGTGGAGAAAAGTGGAATGAAGTCCTTCATGTGCGCACTGCAGGTAGGGAGAAGACTTGTGAGTTTTAAACTTTGTGGAGATACTTCAACATGAGATACTGGAATTTTTTTTTTTTTTGTAGCTGTAGGAATGGTTATTATGTAGAGTAGATGACGTGGATGTTTTAAAGCCTTTGTTATTGGTGGGTTTTAAGAAGCAGTTGGAGAAGAGCTTGTTGGGAAAGCCTGGATTTATTTGATCCTGCTCTGTTGGGCACAGAGAAAGTCATTTCTTGATGAGATGGAGCTGCATTTGCTGTGATTTCATCTATCATAGGTAATGAATACATCCAAACTCAAGTGCCGAATGTTCTCTTCTGTATGTTTTCAGACCTCTTCACAAATCTCACAAAACTGTAGAAAATGGAATATGATTGTTCTTGCCTCTTGCTGTGCTGCAACGTGTTCAGATTTCCTTTGAGTCCTCTGCTCCTGTTTGTCTTCCTTGCATGTGTTTTCCCACTTGCAGCTTTGCTGTTTTCCTCTAAGCTCTCCCTTTACAGCTCAGGCTCCGTTTTCCTTTGACTGCAAATACCCACGTGGCAATAATCTCCAAAACAGGGATTTTTCTATGCAGAACTCTAACTACAGGCGGATTTTTGGAGGCAAGCAAGAATCTCGGTTATTAATCTGTTTTAATGTTGTCATGGAGAGGGTGGGGGGATCTATTTTTATTGAGAATCAAGCCAAGCGTTCGATACTGTCTTACACACTTGAGCGTGTTTGCAAATCTTGTTCTTCTATCGGTCTTATCAGCAGCTCTGTTGGCCTGAATTGGTGATGTCTTTTTAACAGCCCAATAAATGCTCTCTCTGCTATTTTATAAAGGCATTTGTTCAGTACAGGTTTTTTGGGTACCGAAGGGATGGGCAGTCATGTAAGACCTCTTCTTATGAGACTCAAATATAATTTAGCCGCATTGTCACTTTTCGCTGTTTAGACGGACGCTGGCCCATCATAAACCATGATAAATCTGGGATATTAATTGTGTAATTCTGTGATGCGATGTAGCTGGAGTTTGTTTTGTCAACAAGTTAGTTTTCTCATTATGTGCTCTATTGCTGTGTTAAAGTTGCGAGCATTTCTCTTAGGAAATTTTCTTTGTTTACTTAATATCCTAAGTTTTCAATAGTAAGATTTATAATTCAGAGCTCGTATGCTGTTTCCTTGTTTCTCACATGTTTGGTCTGTAATAGATGTCTTCTGCTCCCCTCCCTTGGATTGCGCAGACATAATTATCTGTAAAAAATATGCTGTGATGCATTCTCCCCTGATTGGGGAGTGTAATGGTGCAACCACAGTAAAATTTGTCCAGATGTCTGGGAGTATTATCATCTTCCATCAGTTTATTCCTCATTTGGGAATGCTAGAGTTGGTATAATGAACTTTCATTTTATACTCAGGCCCAGACATTGTGTAATTCCTTTTTGGTTGTTTCTGTTTGCGCTTGTTACGTTGTGGGCTCATGTGTTTCCAGTGAAAAAGAGTGCTTCCTAAGGAGGGGGAAAAAAAAAAGATGTTATTGAGAACATGAGCAATTGTATTTTTCTGCACTTGGCCAGTTCTATCATTTAATACGTTCTGCTGAAGTTATTTACATTTTTTTGAACAAATAATGAAGGCTTCCAAACTTCCTAATTCCACTGCAGCATAGCATATGTTTAAGTTAATAAAAGCAAATCCTGCTTTAATTGTGCTCAAATGAAGTTCACCTGGGGCTTGATGCTTGGCCCCAGGCAACTACTGGGTTTTGCTCTTGAGCCCTCTGCGGGGTCTTCAGACCTCCCATTGCTTTTGTGGGTGGGGTTCCTCCGGGCGCAGAAGGAGCCACCAAACTGTCCATCCAGAAGGTGTTCAGGGCTCGCGATATGTAGGTGTGGTGATTACCCCAAAGGCACATGCCAGGACTCCGCTCTCCAGAGTTCAGGATTCCAAAAAACATGTTATGAGTTTTGGTTTGGGTTTTTTTAGCTCCTCGTAACGTGGAGAATAACTTTTGTGTAGTTATGTGATCCAAAGTAAGAAGTGAAACCCGGTGTGAAAGGAAAAACCTGATTTATTTGGGGTTATGTTCACCTCTCTGTGGGGAAGTCCTCCCAACAGCCCTTTCCCTCAGCGCTCTGTGCCTGATCATCAACGTTCCTGAAATCAGAGCAATGCGTTGGGGGTCTCAGGTTAATATTAGGAGCATAGAACTGCGTTTAGACCCTGTAATGGACTGTGATAAAGCAACTTGTGAGCGAGCTGATCTCGGGAATAGCCTCGGTAGAGCTCCGTCGGCTCAGAGCTCGCCTTGCACTAATATCGCATGTAGATGCGTTGCTAATCAGTCTACTGATGACAGGTGCTTTTAATTAAAGCAGGTACAACCCTGCTTTCCTGCCTCTGGAACGTACATCGTGTCTATGTGTTTCATTTAGCATCACTTGGGAATATTGATGAACATCAGGTTTTTATGGAAAAGAGAGAATGAGAGACCGCGGTATTGCAGAACCGCAGACCGATTGAGATTGGTGGGGACCTCTGGAGGTCATCTGGTGCAATCCCTCTTCTCAAGCAGGGCCACCTAGAGCTGGTTGCCAAGGGCCATGTCCAGATGGCTTTTGAGTATCTCCGAGGAGGGAGACTCCACAACCTTGCTGGGCAGCCTGTTAAGGTAGTGGAGGTACAGCTTCAAGGTCAGGGTACTTGCAGGAGATTTGGACACCCAACTGCACATCCCTCATCCTGCCCCAGACTGGATTACATCTCAGTCCTGTGGACCGTGGGCTCTTTATTGCTGCATTGCCCTCTTACCTTGACCGGCAGGTCCAGCCTGGCCTACGAGACCTTTGCTGAGGGAGATGTTTCCAAACAAGAGGAGAAGGTGCCTTTTTGACAAAACCAAACAAAATAACTTGGATGTAAAGCTCCCAGTGAAGTTTCCGATACTTCTAGCAGTCCTTCAGTGCTGGTTTGTTGCTGACCCCGTACCCTTCGCAGCTTCGTGCTCTGCATTTTTCATGTCTCTGCGTGGCTTCAGTCCATCTTTTATCTGTTGCTGCTTGGAGTTGATCTTTTCTGCCCTTTTTATTTATTTACTTACTTCTGGTGGGATGGAAGCAGGCTGGGGGAAAAAAATTGCGGAGTCATACGTGTGACTGAGCACTCAATCCTTAATTGAGTCTTAGCTGATTACCAGCTTTACGAGTGGTTCTCCAGATGTTTACCGCAAGTGGTCTCCCATCATCACGAAATACATCTCGGCTGCTAGAAGGAGATAGGTTTCCATTATATGTGCTGCTTTTCTGGTGAATGCTTGTTCGGGCCCAGACGATGAGGGCAAAATATCTCTGGAAGATAGATGTGAGAAATGCAGTTCGATTTATGACCTGTATAGAGGGATCCATTAATCGAGGTTTCTCTTGTATTGCAGCGTTCCCACATTCCAGAGCCTTCCTGAGGAGATACTTAGTAAGCTTGCAGATGTCCTTGAGGAGGTAAGTGCTTTTAATTTTGAGAGCTAATGAGTTCAGGGTCTGGGAGCCTTCTGGTGGCAATATCCAGGCTCCTGTTTCCGAATGAAGAGCTTCACAATTTCGCTCCCATTTACGGTTGACTGTTCCAGCACGTCAAGACGGCGGGAGGAGCTGTGTGAAAAATGAATCTAGTTTTGAACAGGGCTTAGGTATTTTTAATTGGATTTCTGCGCAACTGGAGAGTGAAACAATCGTTTCCTGCAGCGTGCGGAAGGAAAACCGCCTCCTCCATTCCCTGTTTCAGTGGTGGCAAAGGGGGAATGTGAAAAGATCATCTCCTTTCAAATTTGGTGGGATGCTTTTTTTTTTTTTTTTACAGGGCAGTGGCATGCCCTGAAAGAGGTGTTGTGGGAAAGCTGCTCCCGTAAGAGTTAAGAGCGAAGAGGGGTGATGGATTATTACACGTTGAGATATTTGATGGTCCGGATGGAGTTGTGCTTCACTTAACTGTAGCTAGTATCTCATTAGCATCAGGTTTTTAATAAGTCTTTATTAAAAAAATAATAAAAACCAAACCAGAAACAACCCCCCCAACAACACACAAAACTCCACAACCAACCAAACACCAACCCCACCCCACCCCCAAAAAAAAAACCCAAACTCCCAACCTTTCCCTGTAAATGAAAGTGTAAAACAGACAAAATATTTGCCTTGCATTGCAGGCAGTCTGTCCGCATGGTTTATTCACCTAACGCTCTTTTCTGGGCCTGCAGAATGGCATGTGATTAAATATTACAGAAACTGTTAATAAAACATTTCAAGACACAGCCCTGTATGATTTAACTGCAGGAAATCATTCCGTACAACAGTATTTTATTTCGTTCCTCGTTGGTTTTTCTCATATGTGCCTTGCCATGATGAGCAACCCTAATAACTACATTTATAGAAAAATGTTCATGTGTACCACCTCTGCCATCGATTTTTTTTATTTTTTTTTTTAAGAAACAGCATTGCTGACATTTAAGTTGATTTATTTATTTTTTTTTCTCCAGAGCATTGATAGGACATTGTTATTTCTTTGCCTTTTTATTTAGTATACGGATAAATTCTGTAATCCAAACAAATCAGCTGTTTGTCATACAGAATAATTGCATATTCATAGATAAGCTTTATTTCCTTTACTGCTGGAGAAGTGTTCTGATTTAGAGAAAAGAGGCATATTAACTCGATATGCTAGGAATTAAATTTCCCTATCTCAAAACCGCATGCCTATCCAGAAACAGATAGTTTATTTGCTTGCATCGTGTAACCAGCGTTAAGCTCCTTATCAAGAGTTAAAGAAAAGAATAAAGTCAATAAAACTTTTCCAGGGATGCTTAAATTTTCATGGCGGGGGAAAAAAAACAATGTATAATGAACATCAGTGAAGAAATGAAGCACAGAAGCAGCACCTGTGGGGATAACTCTGTACCCTTAGGGTGGGTGCTATGGCAAGGGAGGCTGGTCTCCCAGTCTGTACTGGGATACGACTTCCAATTTCCTACTTGAAATCACCCTTGTTATTCCCTCTGGGTTTGTCTTTGATTTACCATACCACGGTTTACATAAACTAAAAAAAAAAAATAAATCTCTCTGCTATGATATTATGCATTTTGTATTTAACAATATGTAACCCATTGAAACTAAGCAGCGATAACTTTATTTTATCCTCTCTGGTGCGGTAACAAGGATTGGATAAAAGTGACTGATTTGGCACAGTTTGAGACGGGGGAAAAAAAGAATTCTCTTTCTTCATGTCAAAATTTCATACAGTTTTTCTTTTGATACAGTGCTGTGAATAATGCAACGCGTCTGTCCTACATTCTTTAAATAATTTCTAAAAACTGTTAACTAAAATCCAGACGCAAGGAAAAAAAAAAGCTGGTTTAATTGCCCATTATCCAACTCGAACTTGGAAATGGCATTATAAAGACAGTGGGGAGGAAGAAAAGGTCAGTGTTTGGTAACATCATTTCATTTCTATAATTGATGGAAATATTACAAGTTCCTTGGATAACTCAAGAATTAACAAAACCCGGGGGTATTTCTGGGTGGCTTCTGACTTGTGTAAGATCACTTCCATCAATGAAATTGCTCATAATTTATATACGCGAGAGTAAAACAAGTCTATTGAGTTCAATTTTAGCACATTCAAACCCAAATTACTGATATGCTGTGTATGTGGGTTTTTTTCCAAGAAATCTCCCAGGAATGAGCTTTCTAGGGCCATAATTCACCCCATTTCCAGGACGTTATTCCGGGGATGGAGGTTTCTCCGGCTGTAGGTCATTGCGGTTGAAGCCAATCTCAAAGCACCTTTAAGTTGTAGCTATAGCCCTGGGATTTGGGAACCGCTGCTGGACCCTGGCACAGCTTTTCCCAGCAAACCTGACCCCTCTGTCTCCTTCCATTGCATTTTAAAAATTATATTGGTATTTCTCAACACTTATGCTTGTTAATATTTTACCCAATGGTTTGAGAGATGTTAACGACCGCGGTGAAAACCACGGTTGAGCATCCCTTCCGGCACAGGGGTTGATTTAGTTTGGTTGTAACGCCATCTCTGCGTCGTTTATCCTTGTGCCTCCTGAACGTAACGCGTGAGATGACCAACAATATGGTTCTGCAGCTCGAGACTTAATTCTTGTTTTACTTGGGCTCGCGGTCTTAGGGAGATGAGGTTTGTCTGTCTGTGGGATAGTCCTCACAAATCATTGGCAGTTGCTTGCCCAAAAACCCGTTTGATGCAACGTTCCTGCGAGATTCCTCCCAAGTATACGGGGTAGGATGAGAAGAAAGATTTAAATTAGTGGGTGTTGAGGTAAAATATAGTCAGCTCAGCCTCTGCTTCGCATAAATGGAGCTATTGGCAGAGGGGAGGGTTACCGGTGCTCATGCTGTGCAAGGGATGAAGGACCCAAATTCATCAGTGTTATGGTTTGAGGAACCCACAACAATTTATTGTCATTTAGACAATTATTCTATCGCTGGATAAACCCTCCCCACCCAGGAAGGGCAATGGGGGAAAAACAAGGAAACCCGAGGGCTGAAATATAAACAGGTTTAATAGGATGAGACTAAATTAACATTAATAGCACTAAAGAACCAGTATTGATACCAATACCAATATAAAATATATGAGGATTATCCTCAGCCCATTCTATCCGTAGAAGCCGTGCACTCCCAGCAGGGGACAGCAAATGTGGGACACTGTGAGCGCTGTGGCTTCGGGAGGAAGGGAAGGGGCGAGGAATTCTCAGGATGGGATCCATCACAGGAGAGAGACCGACCTTCTCAGCAAACTTTTCCTAATTTATAGTGAATGTGCCGTTCATGTATGAAATAAAACTTGAAAACGCCAAGACCTTGAAACCCACACACCATCGCTGGCTATAAAGGAAATATTTTCACAAATTCAGACACCAGAGTCTTCTAAAAGTGCAGTTTTCCCGAGCATTAGAAGAGAAATCAGTCCTGTGTCACTCAAACCAGGACAATCAGTTATTCTCTATGGGAAACAACTGTTTGTTTGTTTGTTTGTTTTATAGGGTGGTGCATATCATCCCATGTTTGCTCTGTGTCTGGGATGTGAGAGGCAACACATACCTAAAGCCTAGCAGTTTAATAATGACATTTTTAATACTGTCCCCAGTGTTTTCCTAATTTTTCTTCCTTAGCACCTGCTTTCTCATCTTTTTCTTCGGTTGAAAAAGTCCTTCTTGACCTCCCCCTGACTCTTCGATCATCGTGCCCTGGGCTGCTCCTTCCCAAAAATCCCCGGTGCCTCCGGGGTGTGTGTGCGCTCGCAGCTCTGTCGCGTGACAGCGTTGAACCAGTGGCAAAGTAGTACCGTATTTTGGTAAAGAAAATCAACGCATTTACGTTTAAATATTGGAGGATTAACGTAGTTGGAAAAGATAACAGCTGCCAGGGTGCTACTTAAACGTAGCTGCGAGCCTTACCCCCATCCGAGCGCTGCGGATCTTGGGATTTAATACCTGGATTGGTGTTTATTGTATAAATACCTTTGCTTTGGGTGAACGCAAATCTCCTTTGGAAAACAGTAGCAGTGTCATCTTGTGCGCTTTCACGAAACAGCTGAATAATTTTCATTTCCTGGGGTGAAAGAGGGGAATTTGTTTGGAAATTGGAAGACTTGCTGTAGGAGATTAATAGCCAAGATTAAAAGTCCTTTTTTTTTTTTTTTTAATAAACCTGAAAAACTTTGGGAAAATATAAGAGCCTTGGACCTCTCTTTCCCCGCACTGAAGGCTATGAAATGATTTATGATTGTCTTTTCTCCTTACAGACTTTCTGATTCTCTTATAGTTAAAAAAAGTCTTTTTTTTTTTATTGGGCACCCTTAATACGTATCAGCTATATATCACAAAAATAAATTGATTTTTGGTAGTAAACAATTCTTTTCTAAGAATATTTAGCCTCAGCGTTATGGCACTTCATTGTAATGTGGGCAGTTTGTAACAGAAGGAGATAAAGTATTGATTTATTATTGCTTTTTTTTTTTTTAAGGCAACTAAAATGCATCGAAACACCCACAGAATAACTTAGAGCAACTGAGCTGCTGTCCACGTATATGACACTACTGTCAATGCTGAGGGTCCTGTCCCCTCTGCCAGTCCCCAAACTGGAAGGTATCACAGGGGCATAGCTGCCCCGCTGGGAAATTTGGGAGGAGAGGGAAGAACATCTTCCCCAGCTTCAGGTCTGAGAATTTTAGACTATTTTTCTCATGGGAATGGAGGAACTAGTATCTCTGAGGACTTTGAGGTATTATAAAGAGCCCTCTGGGTCGCGGCACTCTTAATATTACATGGCCAGTGTGTGTCTGGTGTCTCACCCCGTGGTTATCTGGAAGGTAGTAATGTTGTCAGTATTTTTAGGCTGTGTGGATTAACTCCATTTGTTAAATGAAATTAAATCCTTAAGGGAGGAGGATGGAGAGTCTGTAAGAAGTGAATCAA